CAGAATATATCGGATATTTAAGGATAAAGTGAAATTCATCTTCTATATCATTCATATAACATAAAGTGCACTTTCGTTCATTCCTTGGTACATTATTATGTCTTCCTAACTCGATATTAAGTTTGTGTGAGGAGAGTCTTATTTTTGCTAAAACATTTCTATATTTTACATTTTCAATATATTTTATATATAACGATTGTTCAAATGTGATCTTATATTCCCTATATACATCTAACAATGATGAAGATTGAATACCATCATTCCAACAACTTATATAAATATCCCGTAATCTATTCCTAAAAATAGGTACAAATAGTTTTATATTAACAGAATCGGGATATAACCAGACTTCATTAAATCCTGCTGACTGAAGAATGTTTTTAACTTTTGAAGCCCAGTTTGTTGAACAATTTACCACATCAACATCATATATCTGTCTACACAATATTGTTCTCAATATACAATTATCTTTTTTACTTGTATTTAACTTAAGAAAATATTTAATCATACGAATATGCCTTTCAATGTAAAGAGGAAATCTCCCCAATTCTGCATATAATGCCAAAGTATTTGTCGAATGTTTAACATTTAAAATAAACCTACAAAATTTTTTATGTACTCGTTCCAAAACTTCTGCATTCATAAACCCCCATACTTCACAGCCATAATTTAAAATTGATAAAACATAGGCGTCAAAGAGATTAAACATAATGTTAACTGGTACTTTGTAGTCACGTAACAATTGTAACAATGAATATAATGATCTGAGCCCTTTCACGGCTAACGTCTTTGTAGCTTGCATGAATGACCCACCACTCGTGAATACCACACCTAAGTAGTTAAATGAATTTACTACCTCAACTTCTTGATTATTATAAAACCACTTATCCATATTACCAAGTCTACCACCTTTTCTGAATACAATTATTTTTGTCTTTTCAACATTTACCGTCAAATTCCAACGATTACAATAGGACAATAAACTATCAAGTGACTTCTGCAAACCAGACCTAGATTCTGAAATGATGGCGGCATCGTCAGCAAATAACAATAAATAAATTGATATTTGGTCGATATTAAGACCAACGTCAATATTTTCTTGCAGGTGTAATTCGATATCATGCAAGAACAGGGAGAAAAATATTGGAGAAGTTATCTCCCCCTGGAATAGACCAATGTTACTATTGAAGACATCAGATAACGTTCCTAAATGTTTAACACACAATTTCACCTCATTATACATTGATCTTATAATTGACAAGAATTTGCCGTCAATACCTAATTTTATAAGTTTATACCATAACCTTGATCTATCAATACAGTCATATGCTTTTCTATAATCAACGAAACAACAGTACAGTTTCTTTTTGTTTTCAATTTGCCTTTGTATGAGTGAATGTAAGATAAAAACAGGATCAACTGTGCTATACCCATTTTTGAAACCAAACTGGGCATCCGACAATACACAGTTGTCTTCAGCCCATGATTTAAGTCTTTCGTTTAATATAATTGTAAACAGCTTAGAAAAACAGCTAGTAAGTGTGATTCCTCTATAATTGTTGGGATCTGAAATATTGCCCTTCTTATGCAAGGGGATAATAACACCTGTCGCCCATGACTTGGGAAATTTCTTCTTATCTAGTATATCGTTAAAGAACAAGTTTAAAGGGTGAATTATCTGAGGGACAGATACTTTAAAATATTCATATAGGATATTATCTAACGAGGGCGTTTTGTTTACTCCTAGCTTCTTGATAGCTTTCAAGATTTTCTCATTTGTGATACGTTCATCTAGCGTCTCAAATGTGCTACTGTCATATATCCCCTCACCTAAATTATTGATAAAATCGTCATAGTCATTATTTTCTACTTCCTCCCTCTCCCCTGACATTAAATTGCAAAAATAATCTTTAAAATCACTAACTGAAATATCTTCCCCACAAACAGTAGAATTTGTACTTTTGAATATTTTCCAAAATTCCCTTGGTGATTTCCTCCTTAAATCGTTCATTTTTTGACAACGTGTATTATTAAAAGCATTTTTTGATTTTCTACATTGATATTTATAGTCTTTTCTTTTATTAAAAAGTATAGTTCTATCTTCTGAAGAGTAAGATAGATTATATCTGGTTACAGCATCCTTATATGCAGCCAATTTTTGAGAACATAAATTATCAAACCATTTCTTATTTTTGTTATTATCACTAAAACAAACTTCACTGTCAACAATATAAGTCTTCTTGAAATACTTATCACCATGTTCACACAAAAAATTAGTAAAAATAGAAGTCAGTTTATCAACACTGTTTTCTCCATTAATTTCAGAACGTAAATCACTTTCAAGTGAGTTCAAATTTTGAGATATATCTCTCAAAAATAAATCTTGGTTTCTTTTATCAAACATAATACGTGTATTAGTACTACTTGTAGGCTCATATAATGGTTCAATATTAGTTTTAAAAGAAAACGACAATGTGGCATGGTTGGAAAATATATTGAATTCTCCGACCTCAAAATTGTCAAGTAAGCAAAAATTATCTTCTTGTGTAAGTAGGTAATCTACTACACTTGTTCCATTATGCGTGAAACAGGTAAATTTCCCATGATCACCTGGCCAGCGACCGTTAACTATTCGCTGATTGGTTGCTTTACAAAGATCAAGTAGATAATCACCGAACCGATTTGACGTAGTATCTCGAGAAATGCGAGGCATGGGATTATCAATAGTTATTACGTCACCACTACTAATATTTCTGTCAAACTGAATAAAATCAGCTTTACAACCAGTTCTACTATTAAGATCGCCTACTACAAATATTTTGCCTAGCAAATTATAGTCCATAATATCTTGTTCAAGTTGTGAAAAAATATCAATATTGTAAACGTTATGCACAGGGGAAGATTCAGGTGCGATGTATGTAAAACAAATATATATATCATCTCTAATATTAAAAAATGTTTTATCTATTTTTAACCAAATTATACAGTCTATAGAATTTTTAACAATTTTTATTCCTTGCCTTATAGTGTCTTTAATATATACCACAAGTCCGCCGCTTGACCGTTTTGCCCTACGGTGTTGATATTTCCGATATGAATGAATTGGGTTTGAATAGCCTTTAAGTTCAATATTTGACGATTTGTTTGTCCATGTCTCACTTAGACAGATAATATCATTTTTACATAATATGTCTAAAAAATCCTTGCATTGTTTTTTTCCCACAGTAAGTCCTTCTACGTTCCACGATATACATTTTAAAACATTCCCACTTGGTTCCTAGCATGATTCTCTATAAAGCTGATTGTTAATGTAAAGTTTGTCCATCTTAAGGTATGCTTCCTTTCCATCCCGGCGGGCCTTTAACATGATAGGGATTAACTTACGGCGCTGATCTACTATTTCTTTCGGATACTGTTCTGATATGCCATAGATAGATCCCTTCAGCTCCTTGGCAGCTCGTCGCACCCGCTCACGATCGGGGAAGTCCGTGAATTTGGCGACAATCGGTCGTGTTTTTCCGGCACTATATTGCCCAATGCGATGCACTCTCTGAAGTCGGATATCACTAGATGCATTTTCTATTTTAAGTTTTTCTTCAATGAATTGTAGGATTTTAACTTCACAGTTTTCGTCTTTTTCTTCTTTGATTTTGTGAAACAATAAATTGTCCCGCATACTACGACATTTTAAATCTTGTATTTCTGACTTTAATGCGATTTCTATGCTTTTATGTTCTAGTTCAATTTTCGACATTTTACTGGCAAAACTATCTAACTCTTTGTGATGCTTATTCATTTCTAACAAAGTTTGACTATCGAAGTCGCGGCTACGCTCTAAAGCCTGTACTTTATCATCGAGTTCATTGACCTTTAATTCCATTGTTTGGATACGCATGTTTATACTGTCAACACTACATTGAATTGTATCTAACCTGGAAAGTTTATTGTCCATACTATCCAACCGTTTCATTATCATTGCCATAACGTCTGTGCCTGGCGAGGCGGTTACATGAACATTAGATGAGTTACATGCATCCATTTGTCCCATAATTGGGTAGGGGCTTGCACCAATATTCATTGGAGGGGGGTACGTGTATCCAAAGTTCGATGATAATAACTGTGATTGGGGGGTATAAGGTTGTGTTTGTTTAAACGATGAGTCAGTACTTAGCTTTTGTCCATTTTGTCCATTTTCCTTATCCATGTTTTGCCTTTGTTTACGTTCCCGCCTTTTCACTGGTGTTTGATGTTTTTCTTCTCCAGGCGAAGTTTTAGACTTTTTTCGCTTTCTGGTCATATGGTCCCAATATTAAACATTCCCTTCACCAAAAAATATATCCAAAACTTATTTTGATCACTAAATAACTTGTAAATATATTAATTTTCCATTTTCTATTACACTGATTTAAAATTTCCACCATTTGCTCACGCATGCGCACTTAACAAAAACTTAACTTAAATTGAATACTAGTTATAAACAATATTTTACTTTGTAATAGAAATTGTTTGGAGTAATCTCCCAATATTATGAAATAATCTTGAAACAGAAGTTTTCTTATTCTACTACTCTAGATAATAATGTTCTAACAAATTCATTCATTTTGATCATTTATCTGATTTGTTTTGTTGGTTTTTTTTCTGTATTATTCTAAACAAATATGTGCATACTTTTTTATTGCAAGTACATTATGTGTGGAAAGGAATTTACATAAATCATATTTGACTTGTTGTCCAATCCACGAAATATATCAGTGTGATTACTGTATATGCTTACTGTATATATTTATGTTGTAAAAATTGAAATAAAATATTAAAACAATAAAGGAAGAACAAATTTACCTTTTTAAAAAATAGAAGTTCCAATTATCTAATAATTTCTGTCCAAAAAAATTCCAATCCACGAAATATATCAGTGTGATTACTGTATATGCTTACTGTATATATTTATGTTGTAAAAATTGAAATAAAATATTAAAACAATAAAGGAAGAACAAATTTACCTTTTTAAAAAATAGAAGTTCCAATTATCTAATAATTTCTGTCCAAAAAAATAAACGCTACACAATCCGAGAGTGTTTTCTTTTAAATATAAATTTCCCCACCACAAAAAGTCAAATCATCGTAAAATATCTGTTATCACAAACAATTTGACCTTTCACACGATAATGTAAAAACGAAACAGTTTCAATTAATAGATACACTGTTCAATTAGCACTACTTATATAGTGACGTCTAAATAATACGGGATGTAAAACCGTTATCTATTCTATAGGACCAGGTGATGGTTGTAAACTTTCGGGTACTTAACTCATATAATCAAAGACAAACATTGCTATTTTGACTTTTTCTTTTTCCTGGCTTGTACGAGACAGCGGTCAAATTGATAGATCCCTACTCTGACCTTTTATTTGAATAGCAACGATTTAACCACAAACATAGTCATGTGCTCTTTTGTTTACAAATAGGTTGTGGTGAAATTGTTATTGTTTCCACTAATCTGATAATAAGAATTAGATAGGTCAGGGATCTATGCATGTGATCTCAAGTGTTCATAATCAAGATGGCCGTTAAAGTCACTCACCTCCAAATGTGTGGGGGGGGGGGGGTGACCCCAAAATTGCGTTGAACCATTCAGTGCAGTGTTACATACTTCTTTTACCTTTCCCGTTATGCTTGCCGGCATTTTTTATGCGGCAATGTTTTGATGAAAATATGTCACAAATTTTGCAAGCAAATCAGGAAAAGTACAAGAGCTACATTACAAAATATGCACCATTAGTATCGGAAAATAAATGCCTGGAATATGGTGAATTATTGAAAGATATATAACAAAAAATAAACAAATACAGAGTAACAATGTGTGACAGTTCCGCAAGCATAATGGTTTAAATAAAAGAGCTTCATTAGAATATTTGCATGAAAGATGGTATATGTGGATTATTTAAATATTGAAAGAAACAACGAACACTTACCAAATACCTTATTATACGGCGCGGCTGTTAGTGGTTACCAATACAATACAATATCTTTATTTCACTCAAGACATGCACAATATATACATGACAACATGAGGTAAATAATACAATAGATATAAATCGAGGTTACCCAATGTTACCTTAAACACATGTCAATTTAGGTCATAAGGTCAAAGGTCTTGGTGGTCTTGATCGCTTAAAGCTTATGGCAACACTTTAAAGTACAGTCGTTATATTTTGTACAGAGGTTGGACAAGACTAGTGAATGACCCCGATACATTTTAAAGTCAACTGGTCAAAGGTCATGGTGATCGTGACCACTGAAAGTTTAATCGGCCAATTACTAGAGAATAATTTGGGTAACTTACCGAAGATTTCATATGGAGGTTGGTCATGAGTGTAAGATGACCACTATTAATTTTAATTTCAGTGGGTCAAAGGTCAAGATCACAATGACACTTTATGAGAAATCAATAACGTGAGAAGAAATAAGCATATAGTTATTGACTTGTTAAAGGTCAGTAAGTCAAAGGTCATCAAGGTCGTGACCACGGAAAGCTTGTCCTCTACAGTCTTACACTTTAGTGTGAAGTTGTTCATGGCAAGAAGATGACACATAGTTTTGTAGGTCAAAGGTTAAATTCACAAAGATACTATATGCGAAATTAATAACTTAAGAAGTAATAAGTTATGAAATTTTGTAAGGATATTGCCAATCATTATGACCTATAGCAAGCATTTATTGATTGTATGATCTCTATGTCCAAGTCACTGTGACGCCTTATCAAGAACAAACATTTCCTCCGTCGGAGGGTTTTTGAAATGTATTCCATGTATATTCCGTATAAATATAACACTTGACGTTGATAGGTCTGTAAAGATGCCACTATGACAGAAGGTGGGATTATAGCTGTCCTATGGACACATTTCTAGTTTATCTAATTGTACAACCCTACTGCGTACATGTATTATTATTATTTTATTATATAGTAGTATAAATACCGGTATATTTTGAAAGAAACTAAGAGGAATGTTATATCGGGGTTATATTGTTTTAATAGTTAGCATAACCTTATTTTGAGATTGTTACTAATTTTGAGATTGTTACTATATAATAACATACTAATTGCTTCTTAATTAATTAAATAATATTTAAATGTTTTAAGCCTTTTTCTCTTTTAAAGTTTCATTGATTGAGTCATTATAAAGTACTAATATAGAAAATATCACTATATGCGTAAATAGATATGCAATCACTTCAACACCGTATCCCCAAATTAAAAGTCTTAATTGCGTCACACCGTATATGGCCAGTAATATTCCATATCCTATTTTCCTCACGTCAAGTCTGCCGGAAGTGTGTGCCAAGAAAGCAACGGCTGCAAGTGCGGCTTGAACATAAGTCACATATTGTGAGAGGTGAAAGTTTCTTGGTGTTAAACTGTAACAGTTAATGGCTGAATTTATCCAGTAGCCAGCGACGTCATCCTTAAAAATAAAATAAAAACAATAGTTAAGCGTGCCC